CCAGTCATTGGTTTTTACAAGAGGAAAGACCTCTTGTGTATCCAGTACACACCCCCCCTTGATTACAGTGTATAACCATCTTCCAAGTCACCTTTCCATCTTTCTGATGAGCTAAACAGGTTGAGTTCTTCAAGTGCATCTCCCTCACAATTTTCCCTCAGCTATTTTTGTGGCCCCTTTCTGCCTTCTCTCCAGTTTTCCAGCTTTCCTCTTTATTGGTACTGTATAGTGACATATCTTATCCAAATATTGCCATATACCAAGTCAAAAATCTCATAAGAATTGAAGTGCCTTAAATTTGTGCAGTTATCTTTTATCAGACAAACTTGTGGTCTCATCAAAGAATAAAGTCAGATAGTTCTGAAAAGCCCCGTTATCTTTGTTTAAACAAACAAAAAGAAATTGTAGTACTCCTGTCCTTTGGTTCTTTATCAAATTAATCCATATCGGCTTTTCTTTTATTTTGCCTGGGATTCATGTTAAGTTAACCATCCAAGAGTTATTCTGGTTGTCATTTTGCACCTTCTTGGGTATCAGCACTTCATTGGCACGCTTGTGGAATTTCCTTGCTATTCAGACACTTCTTAAAAATCAGCGTTTGTAGGTTGACATTTATAATTCTTGTAAATGCCCAGAAATGCCCATTTAAAAAATGTTTGTTCTTCATAGCTGTTGTGTTGAACATTCTTCTTTCTTATTAACAAACTGGAAAATGCTTGTTTCTAATCATGTGAAAGAGTACATCCTGTTGCTGCTTCCTAATACAGAACAAAAATATCATTGAGCACTTCTCCCTTTTTGGCATTGTTAACAATTTTTTATCTTCTCCAGCTAAAAGTGAATCTATAACATTGCTACAATTTTTAGTTTTTCTAGTAATCTTACACTACGAATTATCCATTAGTTTGTCAGCTATGGAGTTTTTTCCTTGACGTCTTTCTCTTCCCTTATCAGTTTTCTGTATTTAAGAATCTCTAATTTATACTAGTTTATATTAATCATCTCTGATTTTAAAATACATCTCTGCTTTGCCTTTTCATAGCTCCCTTTTATTTCTGCTTTGGGAATTTTAGCCCAGGTTGTCATTTTAATAGTAGCTTTTTGGATGTTTAATACATCTTTACAAGCTCTGAATTTTCATTCACGTTTTTCTGTTTTTCCTCTCCCCAGTTAGTGGTGCTCAGTTTTCCTCTGAAATTAGGGAAAGGGAAATTTGCCCTCTGTAGGCTCTAAATCTCAATATAAATGCTAGCTGGGACTTTGTTGAGAGGAATGGTAAGAGTAAAAGCAAATTTTAGATTGGTTGGTATGTATAGGACAGGCACACAGGCAGCTTTGTTGTTTCAACCTTTTTAAAGAAAATGGGTAACTCAGTTGTCCCCTTAAATTGTTGCGAAGTGCAGTGAAATTTGTAAAAGGACCATAACGACAAATTTGGTGGAGAAGTGAAGCTTCTGAGCTGTCAAAAAGAAATTCTTCATGCTAAGTTTAAATGAGTAACAGTTTTAGAAGAGCTTTTGTTCAAACTGCTAATTTTTTTTTCAACATTTACAAAATACCAACGTCCTCAAGTTCAGTTCTGTGTCTTTCATGGTTCAGCTTGCTTTTTTTTTTTTTTTTTTTGTAGCTCAGAGGCAGAGTTCACCACACAATGTGAGGGAAGACTGTTTCTGTGCTAGATTGTTCACAACTAGCCGAGGGCTTGAGGAAACATAAAGGTCTTTCCCCAGGAGTGAAATAAATTGGATCTTTTTGTGCTATATTTATCTGTACTATTTGTGCAGCTGCCTTTTGTTTTTTGGAAATGTCTGTCCAATTAAAAGCAAAAATCACAGAATGTTGCTGTAATAAATCTAGCAGTGAACTTTGCTCACGGAGGCAACGGGGCTTTTTTTTTCTTAGTAGGGTTGTGAACTGGAAATCTAGTTACCATACTAAATCTAAGTTTGGCACTCACCCGGAGCAGCAATCCATCTGCTGGCGAGACGTACTGCCCAGGGTTTTTCAAGAAATCCCTTAATAGTCCTGAACACTAATAATATTTATATACATTAAGATGAGCCTGAGTTTACAGCAGTCTAGCAAGGCCAGCATCTAGGCACCCTTACGATGCCGAGTGAGGCACTTTACTCATTTGTCCTGGGGCAAATTGTAATACCACTGGTCAATATGCATGTGCTGTATTTTTCTCGGCTTTGCTTTATCAAAGACATTGGCATGTTTTTTAAGGCTTTGCATGATCTTTCAGTGTTGGGCTCTTATCCTCTCTTGTCTTGAAGAAGGATCAGGGATGGTGTTTTTGGTTTGGGGACAGATAATACATGTGGTGTTACAGTTATTTAAGGTTGTGTTTGGAGTAGAATGAAAATACGGTTTTAAAGGACACTTTTTTTGATGTGTATACATTAGTCATCTTTGTGCAACATTTATGTGGGCCTCACCAGCACTGCGTTACTGACGGGTCTGTCAGCACTTCTCTTCAAATGGTTTTCCGTCCTCTTGTTTGTATTATTCCTGGTCGGTTTTGACTCTGAAAAGTGATGTTTCTGTCGGCACCTTTTCATGCAACAGCATTGGTATCGGCAGGAGTTGAGTCCTGTCTGCCTGCATTGCGAGTCAGATAAGTTCTTGTTCCATTAGTGACATACAAGAGTCAATATGCAAGACTGGGATTGCCCTGTACTAATTGCAGAGAGAACTCGCCTTGTACAGTCGTTGTTCCTGGTGGTAGTGTGCAAGGGAGAAAGGCTCCCACATGGCACTTGGATCCCAGATTTGAATTTGTGGGGTTGGCAGTTAAAAATCTGGTAAACCGGAGCATATTTGATGTAGAAACCACTGTGATCATTAAACATGGAACCTCGCTGATGCTAGGTTTACAGATGTACCATATTTACCTGAATCCAAGCCAACTTGGTATTTCAGATGGACCTTCCCCCCGATTCTATACGTAGAAAATTATACGTTTATTTTATAATTTTCCATATATAGGAGATAATTATTGAAGGGTCATCTTAAATTTGTTCCCAATTAGAGAGGGGATGGGGAGAAGTCAGGCAGCCTGACCCTCACACTATGCTCTCCCCATCCCTCTGCTTGTGCCTTCTGCAGCCTGTCCCCTCACCTGATCCCTACCCCTGGCTGCTGCCCAATCCCCCACCCGCATTGCTGTCCCATTCCCCACTTGCACAGCTGTTCCTTATCCCCCACCTGAACCCTGACCTGCACTGTTACCCATTTCCTCCACCCATTCCTGACTCGGGCTGCCACCCATTCTGGACCCTAGCCTTGGCCTTTCACTCACACATACCAGATTGCTGCTGCTGGTGGTGGCAGCAGGAACAACTCCAGCTTCTTTGGCTCTGACCTGAAATTGGAGCTGGGGCAGAGTAGGAGCCCTGGTACTCAAATCCAAGATGATGCTTGTTTTCTTTCCTGTTGACAGAAGAAGGGGGGGGGAAACCTCATCTTGGATTCGAGTAAATATGGTATTCTGAAGTAGCGTGGCACTTCAAAACCGTTAGCTAGCGGCCTTCCGTGACTGAGACTTGGCATCGGAGTGTCTAGATCCTACAAAGTATGGGTGGTTATGTCAAGCACATTTTTGTTTTGAATTGCTTAATATTAATATCCCACCCATGCCCGCCTTCTCTAGCATGCTTGGGGTTGTGTGTTGTAGAGGGTGCATATGACGGGCATATGAAAACATGGAACCATATCCTAAGGTTGATGAAATCAAGGAGTTTGGTCAGTTACCTTGAAACAGCTTGATCAAAAGCTCTCGGATTTGAACTTTTTCATGCACATTGAAACAAGTTCACTTTGAAGGTGGAATTTTGCAGGTACCATTTTGCAGGCTGTGCTGTGGGTGGGATGAGAGAGAGATTGTTCTGCACTCTCACGCTATGGGTCCCTTTCTCTCTTTTTGAACAACAGCCTAGCAGATTATGTAGCAGATTGGGTGGGAGCAGGGAGAAAATGTGCAGGCTGGCATAGAATCTGCTGTGCTATCTTGGCGGTTTTCATCCACGTCGGTTGTTTGGGGACATGTAGTCTCTTTTGCTTTAGGATGTTAACTGCTTTCTAGTCAGGTAGGCGTTACTTTCCTTGGCCTCTAATCCTGAAGTGTTGTTTTATGCTGTCGGTATTGGTACTGTTTTCTAGTCAAGTTAGAAAGTGGAAAACAGTTACCTAATGAAAACCAGATTTCCTATCTGTGTTTATTTACAGAGCCTCTGGCATACAGCTAGCATGGCTAAAAGGCCATACAACGCTGTAATCAAAATGTTGTTACGTAAGTATAAATGCCGCCACTTCTTTTGATGTAACAATAGTAAGATTGTCTATTGAAGGCCCTGCTGCTTGTTCATTTTTCCCCCCAAGCTCTAATGCCCACACCTCCAAACTCTGGAGCTTAAATAAATATGCTTTTCTTGTCACAAGTGTGATATGATGTGAACAAGTATGATTCCCCCTTTGGGGGAAGGCTGAAATGCATGACACCCTTCAGGAGAGGGAGGAATCATAACTCCCATTGCATAGTATTTCATGTGTAGCATCTGCACTTCATTACATCTCATTTTGCCTACAAAAGTGATATTGGGATGCTGTGTTGGGGTCAGCCTAACCATGTGTGCTGCAGTATAGTAAGGCTTTATTGCACAAGCGCAATTAAGTTGTTTTAAAGGAGGCTGGTTTAGTTGCCAGTAAAAGACCAATTTGAAATACAAATTGGAAAGACCAGGAAAAAAAAAAAAGAAAAAAGCTCTCAAAGACAGTAAGTCAGTACTCAGAAGAATATCAGGGCTATCAAACGGTTTCCAGTCTTCACTTGTTTCCATTATCCGTGCATTGGCCTCACTTTCAACAGTTTTCCTCATTATTTCCTTTGCTTGTATTTTAATTTCTAGACCCAGTGGAATATGAGCTTAGACCATATTTACATTGCTGCTTTTTAAATGATGTTGGCTCAGCCCTTGCCTTGTGCTCTCTCTTTGCAGTGTGCCCCAGCTCTTGTGGCAAGCGAGCCTGCACAGACCAGAACGAATGTTGCCACCCCGAGTGCTTGGGAAGCTGCACTGCGCCCGACAACAATACGGCTTGCGTGGCCTGCCGCAATTACTTCAGCAACGGAGTCTGTGTGCCCGTTTGCCCCCCCAACACCTACAAGTTCGAAGGCTGGCGCTGCGTCACCAAAGAAGAGTGTGCTGAAGTCCCTACCTCAGAGCTAAGTGAATACGAGAGGTTTGTGATCCACAATGACGAGTGCATGGCCGAGTGTCCCTCTGGATTCATACGCAATGGGAGCCAAAGGTAATTCGGTGATTGGGCTGCCTGCCATATTTCTGGAGTATTCCCTCCTATTTGATTGCAAAGTGTGTCATGAAGTGTGGAGGGGGTATATAAGAGGGAAATCCCCAAGCCCATTGGGGAGGGGGGGATTATCCTGTGGCAGTATGACAAGAGAAGGTCTCCACTCAGACCTAGTTACCCATCTCTGAAGGCATAGTCCTGCCTGGTGCTGAGCATTTTTAGCTCACATTTCAGGTGAGAATTAAGGGAACTTGGTGTTGCACTTAAATGGGTTTTTAAACCGAGCACTCTGAGAACTGACACAACACTCAGTTGATGAATAGCAGAAAGGCTTGCTTTAATAACTACCAACAAGTTACAAAACTAAATGACAGAAAACCAACGTTACAAAACCAAATGACAGAATAAAGACTCTTTCCCAGTATAAAATGAGCTATTAGTCCTTGCATTATCTTAGCTGCAAAGAGATTTTTGGTTTTCCCCTCCCCTACTTTTCTGCCCTTTCTCTTCCTAATTTTCAGCCCTTTCCCTTTTCAGACAGCCTCTTGTCTACCTTGAATTACTACCACTAGTGTTTCCCTTACTCACCTTCGGCTTTTCTTTCTCCTGCTTTCCCACCCCCCTTCCCTGCTTCACCTTTTGTTTTCCTAATTTCTACCTATTTACAGTCTCACTGACATCCCACCACACTTAGCTTCTCTCATTCCTTGGAGTCTCAGACCAGCAGAGACTCCCTATGCCTGAAGAAGGGTGACTGCACCCGAAAGCTTGCTAAAAACTTCTTTCCAACTACTTGGGTCTAATAAAAGATATCACATCTACCCAAAGTACCTTGCCTGCCTATATAGTTTGCTTGCCTCTACTGGCTCAGCTTTTTTCTCTGGCTTTCTTAGCTTGGAGTTACACATGTGATGAGTGTTTTAGGTCTCTGCCAACAATTTTAACCATCACTTTTATTATTGTATGGCATGGGTCTGGCTTTGGGTACCTCACTGTCTCAATGCCTAATGGGTTGCAAGCAGTTAGCGGAGTTTGATTTCCTTGTGGCAATCTTGTCACCACAACCCAGTCTTGCCCCAGCCACAGTCTTGCATTTTTGTGCAAGAGACACGGCCCAAGCTTTCATAGCTTTTCATATCCAGCAGTCGGCACAGTGTGGGACCGGATTTTGAAATTAGAAAACTGCCCAGCGAAAACCAAGCTGGGCTGGAAGAGATATGTGGAAACATCAGGAAATAGTCAGAAAGGGGTTCTGCTCTGTGTTGCCACCCAGTGAGCAGATCGTTTCTGTTTCCCACACATTAATTGTTCTGTGCATGCTTGTATTCTGCTTCTGGCCTGTGTGCTTTAGCCAAGTGCCTAGCTTTGTTGCTGCCTGTAGATTTATTCACTTAATTTACTTTGCTCTTAGAAGACACCAGCACCACTTCAGAACAGAACGCTAGCACAGGCGGTTATAAAATAGCACAGCAGCTCACGGTGTTGTAGGGAATGCATTTTTTTTTTTCCCATGAAAATTACCGTGGCTCGTCAATAATTCTTGGAATTTAAAATAATGTGGCCTGATATATGTTTCCCATTTCCTAGTTTATTCAGTGGCCAAGAAAACAATTTTAGATGCCCACCTATTAACCCTTTGTTCCTATAAAGCCTTTGACTTTCTTGCAGACAGGGTTCTTTGGGTAGACGTGGTCAGGCGAACTAACTAGTTGGGAAATTGTTCTTTGCAAGCTTTCAGGCACAAACACCCATCTTCAGGCATAAGGGAGATCTCTTAGGACTGTTGGACTCCTTGGGCTTTTTGTAGTTTGTATCCAGGCTTCACCTTTATTTGGGCAGGTGAGTTGCGTGTGGTGAGTGTAGGAGCCTATGCTGTTTCCGAGGGAGAGGTGCCACCCTGCCCTGCCTTCCGGAGAGTGAATGTCATCCAGACAAACACCTTCCTTGGAAAGCCTCCAGTTGACATTCAGATGCAAACAATGCAGCTCTGTGCTAGCTTGGGGCCAGATATTTACCTGCAAAACTTTTTTCCTTGCTGTCTTCCCGAGCGGCTCTTATTCTCCGCTTTAAAAACACTCTCATAAAAGCCACTGTGCCAGACAGCTTATCTTATCAAAGCTCTGCCTTCGCGGCAAAGACTAAAGAGAGTTGTAACTCAAGGCCAGTGAATGTTTTATCCCCCAGGTTCCCAGAGACTATTTTAACCAGTAGTTGCAGACGTGGGGAGTTGCTCTCATTCTCCTGACACCGACTCTGACTCGAGTGCCTCTTGCCCGTGCCTGCAGCTCTTAGTGGCTAATGGCACGTTCTGGTGTAGCATTTGAAATGGGAGCTCACGACAGAGTCATGGAAGCTCCTTCCTTTCATTGTTTGTGCCTGGAAAACAACTGTTGTATCAGGTTACTGGTTTCTCGAAGCTGAAGCAAAAGTGGGTCCGGTTACCGTTTTTAGGCAATAAATAGGAAGCCCTTGCACACCACTGTGTGATCTAGGGCTTTTGTCTCCAGAACCTGGGTTTTCTTTCCTGTTGCTTGCTTTTGTTTCCACAAAGTGGTAATCTACTGCAGAGGTTTAATTATACCCTTTTTCCCCCTTCAAAAGGACCATAAAAATTGCACTTGACTAATATGTGGGGTCAACTTCAAATTGTCCTTCCCTTCCCCCCCCATCTTGACTCTTGTACCCAGTGTTTTTGAGTATGCAATAAAAATACCAAGTCAAATGTTTTAGTTTTACTTTAGTATTTTTAATTCATTTAACCCTTTGGGTCCTTTCCCTGGTTATTTGATTCCCTTGTGGGCTTTTTGTAAGAGCAGAAGCTGTTCTTCACCAGTAGTTGCCAACTTCTATTGAGGGGAAAACTTACTTTCCTACAATTCAGCCAGAAAATGTGGATAGACTTGTGTCGAGATGGTTACCAATTTGAACGATACAGTAAGTAAAAACAGTGTTTCAAGTGTTAGCCCTGGCCCAATTGGAAGAAGGCTGAAGTTTTTCCAAGGTGCCTAATGGAGTAGGGTGCCTAGCCTCTGCTGAATTTTATTGGGAGTTGGGTTCCTTCAAAACCTTTAGCCTCACCTCGTTATTAGTGAAGTGTCGCCCATATGTGAGAGAGGGCAGTGTGTGACCTCTCCCGTGTTCTTTGATTTGCCCTTATTGCTGCATGAAGTGTAAAAATGCAAGGGCAGGGACATAGGCTTTTCATCTAGGTGGATCCCAGAGCATTTCACAAACTGATTTGCAGATAGTATATTAAGGAATCACTTCCTCTACTGCTGATAATGTATTTAACTCTTCTGGTAATTACAGCTGTGTGCCTCTGCCCAGGATCACTGCGGTGGCACCATACAGTCGTAGGTGCATGGAATTAGGAGACAGTCGTATTTCAGGAGACGGGGTTCTTTGAGTAGATGTAGTATCTTTTATTAGACCTGCTAAATAGTTGGGAAACTTGTTGTTTGCAGGCTTTCAGGCACAAACACCCTTCTTCCGACATAGAGAGAGTCTGCTGGTGAATTGTGTGCTCTCTTGGGTAGAATAGAAGCCAAAATCCAGGACAGTACACAGTTCACCACCAGACTCTTATGTCTGAAGAAGGGTGTTTGTGCCCAAAAGTTTGCAAATAACAATTTTTCCAACTATTTAGTTGGTCTAATAAAAGATTCTGCGTCTACCCAAAGAACCTTGCCTATCCATGTCCTTAGATCAACACGGCTACAACCAACAACCCTAAAGCATGAAACACATTTCAGGAGAAGCAGTCTTTTTCCCAGCTTGAAAAATGTGTGCTTTCTGATGTTGCAAATAGAGAAGCTCTTCCAAAACAATGTCAGATCAGCCGACTGTGTTGTGAAAGCCACAAGTCTTACTTCTGGTCTCTCTTCCTTCCCACCAGCATGTTCTGCAGCCCTTGCGAAGGGCCTTGCCCAAAAATCTGCGAGGAGGAGAAAACGAAGACCATTGATTCTGTCACATCAGCGCAGATGTTGCAGGGGTGCACTGTCCTCAAGGGGAATCTGCTTATTAACATCCGCCGTGGGAGTAAGTATTCTCCTTTTTGGAGCTTTTGTCAAGGTTCTTAAATGTTAGTGTGTGCATGTGTATGTGCGTGCACACATGTCAGTACAAAGATAAGAACTCTAAAGACCAATACTGAAAGCAAGGTCCTTAAAGCAGTTGCTAGTTTCCTACTTATGTCAGGACTGTCCAGCACACCATTTGGTGCACCTCATCCAGGTGCTGAACCACTGTGCGCGAAGTAACCAAATCAGTCAAATCCAACACTACACCTCTTTTGCTCTCCTCGTTGTTTTGGCCCTTTCCGAGGCGTGTCCAAACAGAAATGAACTCTGGATACGGTTTGTCAGAACAGTGATTCATCAGTTGGGAACGCTCCAACAGATGTCAAGCTTCAAAGCCATTATTAGTTTTTTGGTTTGAAATAAACATCCAAATGCCTTCAAGGGTGAGTGTAGGTTGGAGTGCCTTGAGTTTTGTGCCTGTGTCCTGTAGCCTGAGGAGTGCTAGGTTTCCTGCTTATGGCTAGCCAAGGGGTTAAAAAGAGCTGTGAGTGGATTGTCTTATTATATTTCACATCTGCAAGGACAGTCTTGTCTTCTCCGGGACCTTGAACAACATTTACTTCAGTCACTCCATGCGGGTCGCTAAGTAACAGATTTATGCTCCTGAGCACTCTATGGTAACACAATTTTTGGCCAGTTTCATGTTTAGAAGAAATGAAATCGCTTCTCGGCCTCTAGAAGGCTCAGATCAAGTGTATATCTTCCCAGGGAACTGAAGATAATTTTAAATATATCCTTTCCCAGCTCTTTAAAGTGGTAAGCGACTGACTATCAATAGGCAGAAGACGGTGCAGTGTGGCATCTTCCTCACTGAAGTGGAAGAGGGTACACGGAGTTTGTCCATCAACTAGGCGACTAAAGCTGTGCACAGCTCAGATGAGCTGCAGTCAGCCAGGTAGGTAGCTGTGTTAGCCTGAAGTTAGCTGGAAGGCAGGGCGGCACAGCAGCTTTAGAGACTAACTTGTTCAGAAAGGTGTGAGCTTTTGTAGGCCACAGCCTACTTTGTCAGCTGCTATGATAACATAGATATGGTGTCACAGATGGTTTCATGGCATCTGATCAAGTGACCTGTAGCCTACGAAAGCTCACGCGTCTCTGAACAAGTTAGTCTCTGAAGTGCTGCACTGCCCTGCCTTCCAACGAACTTCAGGGTAATGCAGCTAACTGCTTGCCTGATTGCTGATAATTAGCAGTATACTTAATTTGCAGTTCTGCAAATTTTGCAGAAACCGCAAAATCCACAAAATAAACCAAAAAAACCCCTTAAAATAAATATGCTGGCTCCCTAGTGACAGCTGCTCCCTCGGTCCTTTTACCCCTCCAGGGCTTCTCCATCAATCGGTGCCAAAGGGCAGCAGAAGTCAAAATGGTGGCCCCTTGTCCCATCCCATCCCCCCCAAGTCCTCTTTGCCAATAAGTGCTGAGGGCAGGGTTGCACGAAGGGCAGCCAGCCATCAAGATGGCGGCTGACCCCCTCTTCCCCCAGGGCTTCTCTGCCAGTCAGCGCCAAGGGGTGGGGCCTCTCTGTCGATCAGTGCTGGGGGGTGGGACAGCTGCAAAATGACGGTGGAATGAGAACTTTACACCATGATCAACCTGAAAAAATTGGTAAGTCCACCCACCATTTTCGGTAGACCCCTACCACTAGTCTGAACCATGCCCACAACTTAATCTAGCTTTAGTCTCCTGACTGGGGGACCAAGTCCATGTATCCTCTTCCACTTCAGAGGATGTTCCCTGTGACCCTCCTTGTACAACCTAGACCTGGCGCCAGCCCTGGTCCACGAAGATATCATTACAGTTTTGTCCTCAGTTCTGCCAGCTCATGTTGTACCTGGAACCAAAGTGTTTTAAGAACAGTGACTGCATAAATCAGCAGTTCCCCAGCCCTTGCTGATACAAACCATACTGAACAAGCTGTAGGCAACATTTTGTGCTTACTGCCCCCCCTTCCCCCCCCCCATTAAGCTCAGTTCACCTTTTAACCCTTTAAAAGCTGGCCTTTAAATTCTTATAGCTGCTGTCCACAATGGCATTTCTTATAGGCATCGTGTTCCTCACATGGGGACAGTGGCTTCAGTGAATTTCCCCTTGAAGGTCTGTTAAAATAGCAATATCCTTGTTGCTTGCTTAGGACAGTAGCATAACTCTCTCTGACTTCGCTTAATCTCTGGTCTGATGCCATGTTCTTCAGCGGAGCATTTCATCTTGAGCTAATTAATGGGTTTTACCTCTGTCATAGTGTGTAACAGCAGTGGCAGTTTCACAGATGCCTAAATTTACAAGAGTCTGTTCAGTTTGGCCTAGAGATTGGCTGTTGACAGCTCAGAATTTGGGTCTGGGACAAGTGTGGAATATCTGTGCAAAGGAAGGCACATCGATATAAAAGTTATGAATGGAGCTCTAAAGTGTTGTACTCCACCTGTCTGCTTGCATAGGTAAATAATATATGCTGGCTTGCAGCAAGGCAAATCTTTTTTTGTTGACAAAAGCAGCAAATATCAATGTTTCCTTTTGTTATGCAATCTCTGAGCGAAGCAAAACGTAAAGTTAAGGTTGTACCGTTGCATATGTTAATAGCACTCATTTTCTTTCCTGTTAATGCAGATAATATTGCTTCAGAGCTGGAGAATTTCATGGGCCTGATTGAGACGGTCACTGGGTATGTGAAGATTCGCCATTCGCATGCACTGGTTTCCTTATCTTTCCTAAAGAATCTCCGGTATATTTTGGGAGAGGAACAGCTGGATGGGTAAGTGCTCAAATTGAGCGAGATTATATTTGTAGCGGCAGTTTCAGCCTAACAGAAAGGCATGGAAAATATGTCTTCTAATGAATACTTTTGTACCATTTATACAGCCTTCACTTCCACTAACATGCAGTATTTGTCTTCTACTTACTACCATTGCACCATCATCATTCATTTGATTCACTAGCATGCAAGCAGTTGGATGAGTATATTAAAAATTATATTTATGGGAACACTGCTGCTGTTTTTCTCCTGCAGAAAGATTTTCTTTGGGAGATGCTGTATATCTAAGCAGTTTTTGCTTTTATCCTAGACGTGTTCTGCTTTTGATGCTCCAGTGCATTCTGAAATCAGAAGTCATTGCTCTTTTGTCATTGCAATTTGTTAGTGTTGCATCCTTAACTGAGGTCTATGGAAATGTCACCTAGAGAAGAATAGCAGTTTCACTAACTAAAAGATCAGGGCATGTACCTGGAACTAATCTGAGTATTCAGGAACTGCACAAATGAGCCTTCCACAGAGTGCTATGAAGAAACCAATTCTCTTAACCTAGACAATGAGTTTGGGCCTGGAAAGTAATCTTGGTCTATTGAAATGTTTACTGATCAGCTTCCGGGATTGCTTTGACTCCATAAAATAACATATGATATACTTTTAACAGTATGTTGTGCCGTTTCTGTACACAACAGATCCAGGAGTAGTAGGTGACTGGAAGGAGGAGGAAAGGAGGTTTGCATTCTGTAGAAGTGAAGTTAGCAGTGCTGAGGTAGGGATGACTTTCCACCAGGAAACTGCTGTGCTCTGTCTCTTCCCCAAATAAAATAGTTACCCAAGTTTAAATCACTCCCCTGTAGGAGGAATGAGCCTTTCTTGCTAATAAGAAAACTAGTAAACTAAGAATTTGGGGCAGTTGTTTAGGAAAAAGGTGGTGGGAAGGTCATGGGAAAGGTTGCATGTCTCTGATTTATCTTCCCCGACAGGATAAAGTTACAATATAAGGGATTCTTCCAAACCTCCCTCTCTTTCTCAGGCTACTCTTTGGTCAGTCTTAAATTCTTAAAATTCCACCATCTGACAGAGCAAGTTAAAGGGCAGCTCTTCATTCTGCACTTGAAAAGCACGCTGTCTTTTTCAATAAGAACATTGGCTCTTTGGACAAACTTTGTTTCTAATTGGAAATCCAAGAGCCTTGTCACTTTGCCTAGCCCAAGGCTCTTTCAGCTCACTTAACGATGTGGTATATTCATGCAGATAGTACAGTTATCAATTTGTCTTTTGCTTTTTATTTATTTATTTTTTTAAGTGCAGCTGTGAATTTAAGCAGCCATTGCATTTATGGAATCTTGCATCTCAGCAGGTGTAACCAATAGGAAAGGAAACAGTGGTGTTATGAATTGGGCTTTATTAAATTGCTTTGATTCAAGAGTGGAAAAATAAACAGTGAAGCTGAGAAGGAGAAAATTGGGGTTCATGAAGGAAGCCAAATCAATTCCTGCTAAAGAATTATTGCTATTATGCATTTTTGGATTAGGGACTGTCCCTTCCTTTTTTTGGGCCAAGCACTTTTTGGGCACTGCCACGATTTGAAATAATAAAATTTGCAAAAATATTCAGCCTAAGGCAGACACCTGGCATGGAAAAGTTCAGTCTGTATAGTTAGTTTGGCAGAGTGACTTAACAATTCAAAACAGGGAAGTATTACTCTGCCATAACTGTAGTGGCTATTGCCAGCATCACCTATAATGCACATTAAATACCTACATTAAGAAAAGAAGATACTGTAAGTCAAGCCTTGGAGTTGGGAAATAAAGAAAAAAATGTGTAGGTTGCCCATACGGACTTAATCTGGCCTGCCGATGCTGAGATCAGATGAATGGGGATAGTTTTTAAATACATGATCATAAACACAGCACATCATGTGCTGTGTTTTTCCTACAGAATCCCCTTCCTCAGTGGCTTCACACATACTAGTTGCCTGGCCACCCATGCATGGTATGCCTTGTGGTTCCCTGTCATCTAGGGCAGTAGTTCTAGCCTTTTTAGACTCCAGGCCTCCCTTGGAAAATGCCAGCTATTAGCTTTCACTTATTTTTGACTGTGGAAAAACAACAGAGCAGTTCTTCTGTTGCAAAGAACTCGGCAAGCCCACGGCAGGTCAGAATATTTTTGACACTGCATATTCCTATTTGAAATCTGTTGGGTTTATCTTGTGAATCATGTATAGGTGTTAGCATAGCTAAGTGCTAATACTGTATGGCACCCTCATGGATTTGATGGCATCCTATTGAGAATCATGGAGCTAGAGAGTAAGTAGCGCTACCCTGGGGATGCTTCAGGAAAGATGCATATCTGTTCAGATTATTTAAGTCTTGCCCCAAGATGTGGGCCCTAAGGGTGTCTATACATGTGTAGCAAGGCTTCTCCGACGCATTGTAATTACAGTACATCAGAGCAGACTCATTTAATCAAGTCTGCTGGAGTATGGTAATTACCATACTCCAGCAGACTCCAGTGTCTTGTGTATCACCATCCCTGCACTGAAAAATGGCAGCGGGGGCGCTTTTAACTAAAGCTTGTTGAATGAGCTTTAGTTAAAGTGCCCCTGCTGCCATTTTTCAGCGTGGGGGCACTTAAATTAGGGCGGCTCTCAGAGTTGCTCTAATTAAAGCAACCCCCCACCTCCTCCAGCCCCTCTTGGAGCATGTGTGTAAACTCCCTAAGATACTGTGTGTTTCTGCTCACAGTCGTAGCTCATCCCGTATTTCCATATGGCTCTGAACAGACTAAGGGAGTGGTTTGAGTAAGAGAGAGGGAAGGAACTTACCATGTGTGAGTTGTTCTGCAGTAACTATTTCATCTGTTCATTCCTGTCCCACTACTGAATGTGGAAGCTAACTGGGGGCAGCTTATCCCTGGATGGAACGGATGTACGGTGCTGCAGTTTAGCTTCCACTTACCTTGGGTTTGGAGTAGACAGTTAAAAACATTAATGCTCCATACCTTTAGATATTGTTTGTAGCTGATTGACAGCAGATCATTTTCCTAATGAGAAATTCTTATTCTTTCCACGCTATCTTCCTTGGCATCTTGACTCTTTTCCACGGCTGTAGAGGCCAAGTTTTGATATAATCTTTATTTATAACTTATACCTCCGAAGCCCTGAGTGCACTTCAGTTGCCCTCTGCAGCAGCATTCTCTCTGGTCTGTGCAAGGCGTTTACCTATCTTGTGATTGTGACTGTGTACAACTTTGCAAATGTGGTTTCACTGGTGCATTGGATAATGCCAGAATAACTTCCAGTAATTTATACTTACAGTGCATAGATGAGCCCTAGGACTTGTTTTCCTTGCCTTAAACTTCTGTTCAAACTTGTGCAGATGGTTTTAATGTATGATCCACAGTTACTTGCAACTCTTGCCCAATCTGTTTGCAGTTGTCTAAAACACCAGCAAGCGCTTACTCCACTCTAGTCACTTGGTTGTCCGAAAATTTAGTTACGTCTCTTTAAAACATATCTATTTCAAAAACCAATTACCACTGTTGTGGGTCGGAGATGAGATGGCTGGCATTACATATTTCTTAAACTAGGTTTTAAGGCTGTGAAGCTGCTTTGTAAGTTAACTGCCTCTTGCTTTGGGTCTTTCCTGAAAAGCTTATCTGCAATTATTTACTTGCATGACTGATGATAGTGCATGTTCATCTCATTAATGTTGCACAGGCTGCTGCAAGGATAATTCTTGTTCATTGACTGCAAAGAAGTCAATGTCCAAAATACACACCGGCTGTTGGTGCGTAGTGCAGCTCTGCATCGCACTTGTAAATATTTTCCCTCCTGGCAAAATGCGTTCAATTTGACTGTAACCCATACGTGCTCCCTTTTCAACTCCATTAGCCAACTTAGAGCAATTGTACTTCTTGTCAGCTAAAGGCCCTTGCCAGGCATTACAGTCAAGACACGATTAACCTGTTGAACGCTTCTTAAATAGTAACTCCTCCAGCCATTCAGGCAATTATTAATGGTACCACAAAATGCAAAACCAACCGCAAGTATTTCAGAAAAGACATGTAATGATGTTGCTGGTTTCTATCGCTCCTTAAAGTGAATGCATGGCAGGTCCCCCATGATGAAGCCTGAGGTCAGCTGCATGGCGGGGCCTGGTTGACACCTCCAGCCCTGGGACAGCCTTGGTTATCTCCACCTGGCTCCATTGTGGTCCTCTGGCTGAGACTGACAGTCGGCTGATTCTGGGTCCCAATCTCAGCACTACACCTGTTCACTGGGCATCTGGCTTTCACTGGTCAGTTCAGGAGGAGCCCAGGATTATGATCCTGGCTGCCTCCTGCAGTGGCAAGTAGTAGTGTTGCTGTTTGGATCCGATTTCCCCCATTCCAGAATTGCTTGTCCTGCCATGCATGTATGGCAGGGCAGGAGGGGCTATTGTTGGGATCAGGGAACAGATGTCAACGTGCCATTAAATGAGTGTGTGCCCATGGACCAAAGAGATTCCAGGTGTATTCGTTCTGGATACTGTGGAATAGAGGATATATTCAGTTCACGTGGTTAGTCAGAGATGTCATAAAAAAAAAAAATGGAGTTTTGCCTGGCTCAGATGCTTTGTATGGGAGCAGCCCATGAACTGGTGATAAAACTAACTTGCTTTTAAATGTTTCATTGTAGGAATTACTCTTTCTATGTTCTGGACAACCAGAATTTGCAGCAGCTGTGGGACTGGAACCACCACAATTTGACCATCAAGGAAGGCAAAATGTACTTTGCATTTAATCCCAAGCTGTGTGTTTCTGAAATTTACCGCATGGAGGATGTGTCGGGAACCAAGGGGCGGCAGAGCAAAGGAGATATAAATCCCAGGAACAATGGTGAAAGAGCCTCTTGTAAGTCAGAGATAAAGCAAACTTAAAGCAAGCCCTCATTCTATTTAACTTGAAAGCATGATAATGAAGATCATGAAATCCAGAAGTTAGCAGCTAAAATACTTGATTTGATTTTAAGAATCCCCAAATTGTGGTTCAGGGCTCAGTGGTGCCCTGCAAAGAGCCAGCTTGTTACATAGCAGCTGAAAACAGTGCTGCTGAGTCACTTAAGAAAATAGTTTATTTAACTATTATCAGTTTTTCACAACAGCAATTCGTATAGTAACAGCAGCATAGCTAGAAATACCCAAGTTATGAGTGATCAGTTCTGCTAGTAACTTTTTTTCACCCCTGACTATTATGTAGTTTGTCTAGTCTTTTAAATATTTCTCCTTAAGGGAGCTTCTAAACCGTCTAACAATGCTATATATCTGGAGATGGGGAGTGATTTCAAGAAGACAACTGCTGAAATGTTTGTTTCAACGTCTTTTTCAATGCAAAGCAGTTGGTTAAGTATCGATACTTTGTTAATTCATGCTCCTACTGTCCCTGATGGTGAGCACTTCCATTTATCAGCTGCTATAAATTTGCATTTCAGAGTAACTTACTTTTGTTTATTCTCAGTTATTTGTTTCCAATTTCAAAGCGGCATTTCCAGTTCCTCAACATTTCAAAGTTATGGTTCCTTTATATTTGGGTTGGAGCCATGCAGAGATCTTCTCAAGGGACTTGTTTCAAATTGATGGAATAACTCCTGTGAACTTCAGGAGGTCTTTGCATCTTTCCTGTTGTTCTGCAGACAAATATAAAAATGATCTTCCATTTTAAAGATAGTTAAGAAAAGATCACTTATGGGCCTGGCACCCTGCAAGTTCCTGGTATATATTTTGCCTGTTAAGTTGTATGCTAGGAATTGAGTTATTTTAAGATGTTTATAAGGGGAGTCTTCTTGTTAATGGGTTGTGTTAAAAAAGCTGGGATATCTAAGCCACCAAATGTCTCTCTAGGCATGATGAGCCAGCATAGATGGCAATAATTCTTGTTGTGCAAGTGTTCTTACACTGAATAGGCTGGGTGCTTGCAGTCCTGTAGGAACTGCAGACGCACAGTCCTTGCTACCACTGAGGCGATTGCCAGCCACTGCCTGTTTGGTGCAAAAAGTTTCCTGACTCTCCAAGCAGGGTGTGTGGCAAAAGAATTGATGAAAACTAAAATGCTTTCGGATGGACAGAAGCTCCATTAGTGCCAGTGCATGAGGGTAAAAACCACTTTATTTTCAGAGTTTTGCTGACTGGACAAATATTACATTTGCAGTGCTACGGATGCCACTGAATCTTGTACACCATAGAAATTTAGATCACCTGGGGTAGACGGACATTACAGGGTTTGAGTGCTTGGGGCCTGCAAAAGCTCAGTGGGAGCGCATGAGCCAGAGGGTCCACTGTGTAGACATCCCAGCAGGTCTTACAGGGGCCCAGTCTCTGACGGTTCCTGAGGAGAGCCAAGCATAGAGGAAAGCACTAGTTAGCTGTCTGCCCATGGATCACCTGCCAGCCCTTGTGCTGGGAGTGCAGATCCACCCGCACACCTGGCCAGGCAGTTTCCTCTCCAGAAAGCTTGTCAGTTATACTCCAAGTCTGGAATGGATCTTTGCCTCTAGCTCATCCAACTGTCTGCTTGGTCAGTGCTGGGAGGTCATGTCCTTGTTGTACTGCTCTAGGTAGAGAGTTACGC